GAGGAGGAAGAAGAGGAGGAAGAGGAGGAAGAGGAGGAAGAGGAGGAAGAGGAGGAAGAAGAGGAAGAAGAGGAAGAAGAGGAAGAAGAGGAAGAAGCAGAAGCAGAAGCAGAAGCAGAAGCAGAAGCAGAAGAAGAAGAAGAAGAAGAAGAAGAAGAAGAAGAAGGGCAGGAGGAGGAGGAGGAGGAGGAGAACATTGAATGTACAGGAAATAACAGGAAGGGGAAAAATGGAAGAGAAAGGAAACCAAAAAAAAAAAAAAAGTGGAAGGGGGGAAAAAGTGTCTTTCTTATCTTCAGATTTGGTGATACAGATGAAGCCAATCAGAGGTGACACTGCCAAGCCTTCTCCATGACCATGACACTACTGTTACGGAAAGTAGTCAAGCCGAGTGATGGGTCAGCTTCTGCTTCACTTGCTCCTTAGGAAACTGCTGCTTGCGACACTTACTGTCCTCTCCCTTCTAGGAGTGGGAGCACAGATGTCCCCATGGCCTAGTCCCATTGTGTCATATAGGAATGACTTAGTGTTGGTTCCAGGACACACCAGAACAACACAAGGAAAGAAACTTGATCCACGTGGAGCATCCAGCCAACCTCAGCTGCTCACTTGAACTGCTGCATGGAAGACATAAATGTGCATGTTTTTAAGCCACTTCACTACGGGGCCTTTTGTCATAGCAATTTGAGTTTTATTAACTCTCACTAATACATCCATCACTGCTTCCTCTAAAATGCCATTGATACCCATGACAAATGTTTTAACTATGTATTGCAAACATATACTAATAACTCAAAAAAGAAGAGGAAAAATCTTCACTGCAGGGCCAGCCAAACAGCTCAGCAGATTAAAGGGCCTGCAAGCAGGGCCAGGGGCCAGGGGTTCGATCCCCAGGGCCTGCTGTGTTGGCCTCGCCCCCAGGGTGCACTGACATGGCAATTGAGACTGGGTGTGGTGGTGTGCACTTGTAATACCAGCTCTTTTCCTGTAATCCCAGCTCTTGGGGAGGTTGAACACAGGAGGATTACTATGAGGCACATCTAGTAGTGAGACTCTGAACACCCTGTAGACCCCTCAAAAAATAAAAATTAAAAAAAAACTCACTGCAACACCACATGAAAGGAGTTCTCTTGCAGGCCCGAGAGGAGTATGCCAGATCACACTATCTTTTCCCACAGTGGTGTTGGAGCAGCCAGTCTGGGGCAACACCGGAGTCCAGGGCTCTGCCACATGAGCTTTGGCCAGTAGCTTAGTCATTCTCTCTATATAAAGTAGCAAAAGTGATTCCTGACTTCCAGCGCTGTTTAGGGAACTACCTGAGCCTTCAGGGTCAGCCTCAGAGCAACAGTTGGGGTGGAGCAAGCAGGGTGAAAATTTCTTCTCAGCACCAACTCCCCTCCCAATGACGAGGAGAAGGATACAAAGTCACTGGGAGGGATGCGGGCTGCAGTGTGTGCAGGGCATTTCAACCTCGGTACAGTCACAGTTGTCCCTGCTAGTCCTGGGGGATACAACTCTAGACGGCAGGGGATGCTGGCACTACAGGTAGCACCCACCCCTGAATACACTGTGCTTTCTCCTATAAACACCCACCAGAGCATCTAATGTATCAATAAGAGGCTACTTAATAGCTCTGCACAGCTACCGCAGTCTTCTGCCCTATCCTTCTCAAAAGTGTTGATTTTTTGTTACACTGGTTGGAAAATTTGGGTTCAGAACCTCAGTCTGTGCCTTGTAGAGTGACTGTCACCTCCCATCCTCTGCTTTTCACTGTGCCTGGAGATGTTGAGAGCTGAATTCTCCCGAGGAATCCTTCTACATTGAAGGGCCGCAGTGCTGTGTATACGTTAGGACTGTCTCCCCAAGAGCTTATCTTGAGTTTCATGACAGCCTTATAAGAAAGTCAAGAAGTGAGAATCACTGTTTCACCTTAGAAGGAAAGTAAAGCGCTACAGAGCACAGATCATATCAGGAATCACTGGAAGCTATAGTCAGAGATCAGAGCAAGGCCTTGGAAGGGCCCATGGGGGTGATATGCTAAATGGGCCACATTTTGACTTTGTTTTTCTTTCCTTAATTGGGATAAATAAGAAAAAAAAAAACCCTGAAGTACTACATTTGGGAGACACAGGATGAAGTTGCCTTCACAGGCGGACATATTTTTCCCGAACCCACAAACAACCAGTTCTAAATTATTGCCACTTTTAAGATTAAACAAAACAAAAACAAAAAAAAAATTAAACTTCAGGGAATGGTCCCCGTGCATATACATCATAGCAAGAAGGATTACAGGACAGGCTGCTGGCCATGGGACAGATGCTTCTGGGTGTGACACAGCGGGCTATGACAGCAGCCCTGGGCGGCTTCTGCACAGGAGCCCGTGTCTCCCAAGAGTTTCGTTGGTCTCTAAGCCACCTTGGCCTTGTTCACCTGCTAGGACTGAGAAAGCAAAAACCAGGACTCGAGGAAGGCCAAACCATCTTAAGCAGTTGCAGCTCAGACTTTCAGGCCTTTGAGGACAGCGGGATATGCAAGGTGGTGTGTGGGGTTTCTTCCCTGAGCTTGCGCACTTAGGCTTTGCCTGGGCAGCCAGGAAATCCGCAGGCTTCTGCAGCAAACGGAAGACAGGACTGAGTAGTTGCAGGATGATGCCCTGGGCCTAATCTAACTGTTGCCTTTCACTGTGTGAGATGGTTCATAGGTCTGCCTTGGGGTCTCAGAGATGCTGGAGGCTAAGATTTAGCAGGGGTGAGGGAAAATCGTGTCCGGATGGCAGCGAGTCCTGTGCCGCTCTCTGCTGCTGAGGAGGCACGTGCGGTGAGACGTTAGCGTCTCCTCTCTATCATCCTTCTGTTTAAAGTTCCCAGACGGGCAAAGCTGTCTGGTTCCCTCCTCCTAGTGTTTCTCACACAGGCATAGCCAAAGCAAGAAGTAGAAGAACAAAGTCAGGGCCTTTATCCTGAATGCGGAAAACTGAGAAGAGCGCACGTTCGCTCTCACCTCCTGGGAGTGTTTCCCTCTCTCCACATCCCACCGCCGCGCTGATGACAGCCCGGACCCACTTTGAACTTCCTTGGTTCTTGACCAAGACTGAGGGTGCCCAGGCTCCGAGGTAACGCTGCTCCTGGCAGAGCTTGGAAAGAACTTAGGGATCGTGGGAGCTAGTCTTGCAGGAAGGAGACAAGGGGCACTGGGGTGCTGGCAGGCGGGATCCAACTCGCCCGTGTACAGGAGATGAAGGTGGAGTTCCGGGGGGTCAGCAGCGCTCAGATCTGTCACCCGGGCAGCTGCCCCAGAGCGCGACCCTCTGCGCCAGCCCTGATGGAGAGGGCGCGTTTCGCGCAGGAAGGCGCAGTCCACGCTAGTGCGCCTTCACCCGAACGCCAGCCCGCCCAGGGGAAAGCCGGGGGACGCCCTGCGGCCAGGAGCCGAGCCCCGCGCGCGGAGGGGCGGACTCTAGGACCCGCGCCGCGCACCTGTTGGCCGGCGCCGGCCCCGCCCCGGACTGCTGTAGAAGGCCGAGCGCGGGCATAGGCACGACGTGATCCACCCGCTTGCAAGCACCGCACAGCCCCGGCGCGCACAGGCCGGCTCGCCATGGCCGCGCTGCTGCGGAGCCTGCAGGACTCTCAGCTCGTGGCCCACTTCCAGCGCCGCTGCGGGCTCTTCCCGGCGCCGGAGCCAGGCGCTGCTTCTGAGGCCGGGCATCTTCCGGCGGCCGAGAGCAAGGGCGGCGGCGGCCCGGCCAATGGACTACGCAGAGCCGCGGCCGGGCAGGTAACCGCGGGCAGGTGTTCGCCAGGGACGCGGGGAAGGAGGGGCAGCCGCATCGCAGCCTGGGCGCCGCGGGTCCCCGCGACTCCGCGACAGGGGCGCAGCGAGCGCCGAGCTGCCAGGTGCAGTGGAGGGCGCCGTCCTGGGTTGCTGGGTCTAGGGCTGTGAAGAGGGAGCCCTGCGGGTGGAGCGTCCTGTCACAGGGGTAGAGGCCGCCCTCCCACGCTGCCAGGGCTTGGCGGAGCCTTGCATTCAGTCTACTGGGGACTTTCTAGTTGGGGGATAAATTCATGATCATGCATACTCCATCAAAGGGGTACGGTTACATAAGGAGAGGGGGCACAGGGATGTCCTTGGCGCTTCTCCCTGAGCGGGTTCGAGAGTTCCCGCGGGACTACGAGTTTCCACCCCTCCCCCACTCTTTCGTGCTCACGACCTGGCCACTGGGGGCTGGAGCGCTCTCTTGACCGCTGCAAGGACGCCACTTAGATTTACAACCGCCTCAACACCCCAGGGGTGGAGACCTGCCAGCGCTTCCCTTGGAAAGTGGTACCCGTGACTTTTCGCCAAAACATCCAGCGCTTCCCTCTAGGCATGCCCGGCGTGGTTACACAACCCACTGCGGCTCTGGGCACACCAGCGTGTGTGACAGTCGCAGTGCACAGGGCCTGTGGCAGGACGGCCTTGGGCCCTTGGGCGTCCACCCTGGGCACTGGAGAGCCGTCCTTGGCCTGGGCAAGGTAAAAAGTGTGGCCCTGGAAGACAGAGGCAGTATACAGGAACTCAAAATCCTTCACATTCAGTTTTTCCTAGAAGCCTCTGGTAACAGGAAGGCAGCATTTCTTTATCTATAGATTTCTGAATTGGGTAAGGAGGTTCCGGTACAGAATGGACTGTCAGGAGCACCGAATTACAGAATTCCTGGGGATGCTGCAAGTGCCAGGCGCATCCACTCCAGAAAGATCCTCCTCTTTCTCTATTTTTTTTCAATTGCTGTTTCTCTGTCCCATGTGACACACTCTCAGCTTTTAGTGGAGTTTGGGCCTCCGCCCTTTCCTCTTGCTCTGTCTCAGAAAATGGGCAGAGACTGGGACAAGAACCAGTTCTGCGCCGGCAAGGTGCCCGGCATTTCCTAGGTACACACAAAGTTTATACCCACAGGTAGATGTCACGGGTAGTGAGCCTGGGGTCGGCCTTTTCTCCTCCCTTCTAACACAGGGCTTCACTCATGTGGGTCATGAAGACTTGAGAGAGAGCTGAAAAATTCAAGATAAAAACCCCCGCAGCTGGAGCTCACTGGGGAAAATATTAACTTGAGAGCGAGAATGGTTTTTATAGTGGGTTGGTTTCAACTGACTTGGCCAAGTTAATAGTTTACAGATACAGTACACCGGAAGTGCCCAAGAGGAAATAATTACATACCTCTGCCTGATAACAGAGAGCACAGTGAGGGAACAATCCAGGAAACTCTTCCTCCACAGGCCTGCTTTCCTCTCTGCCTTGGGCGTTTGCCAAGCTGTGGTCTGCCTAAGCTGTCTGCCTTTCTCTAAATACACTCCAGCTACCCTTCAGCTTTTAAAGATCAATTCTTAGAGAGCAGGCTTCTCAGAACCCTAAACCTAACCCTGACCTTCCAAGGTGGCCCTCCTACCCACTCCACCTCCCTCTTCCTTTGCAGTACTAGGAATTAAAGCAGGGCCTTTGCCCTGAGCTACATACCCAGCCTTTGAGTTTTGAAACAGAGTTGTGCTTAGTTGCTGCGTTACCAGCATTTGCTCGAACCTAAGATCCCCTTGCCTCAGCTTCCTGGAGTGCTGGGGTGACAGGCATGTGTGTCACTTGTCTGTTCCCTTGCTTCTTTTGGCTTTTCCTTACACTCTTCGTTGCACTGTGAATATGCCTTTGTGTGAATAGCTGATCACATCAGTCTCTTCTTGTAGATGGGGGCTCTAAGAATACAGGAAATTTGTCTGCTGTTTTCTCTCCCAAGGATTGGCATAGAGTAGTGGTATAGGAGAAATATAACTTGCAAGCCGCTAGATATCAGGTATGTTGAGTTTGTGTCCCCTGAAATTGGAGAATGGATTCTAAAGGACAAACAACTTTAGGAGTGGGAAAGGTTTATGGGGGGATAGGAATCACTCCTGAGAGACAGGAGGGGGCTCAGAAGTCTGTTGTCACCCAGGCCTCTCGTCAGGAGTAATTTATGCAGCAGAGTCAGCCATGTGGGTAGAGCGTGAGTCAAACTATATCCAACAATAAGAACATGAGTGTAGCTGCTTTAGCTACTGTTGATCCAATAGGGAAGCGGGACACGTCACAAGGGCACATGGATGACATCATTGATCTTGGCTTATCTGTGACTTCTAAGATATTTGGGGAAAAGGATGGGCCCAGGTGTTCTGGTCACCCACCCAGGTGTCTGGACTGGGTGATTCTAACTACAGTGATCTCCATTTTCCATTCATCGCTTAGGGAAGAATGCAAATCTGACCACTGTGACCTCACTTTTGGAGACTTGCCTTCTTTTGATGTACCTCCAGCCACAGTTCTGAGGTCTCCATCTTTTTTTTTTTTTTTCCTTTCTGGTCCTGAGGATCGAACTCAGAACCTTGTGCTTGCCAGGCAGGCACTTATGCCACTGAGCTATCTCCCCAGCCCTGATGTGTCCATCTTTTACTGATTTCTTTTGAGAGTCCAATATGTTTGTGAATATCTATTAAATTTTTATTTTAAAAGGAGAAAAAATACAAGCAATACGGAATTGTCTATTAATTTTTATGTAACTTAGTTGCCTATAATAGAGCTCAATGAATTTTATGAAAACCTGAGTATTGATTGCAATAGAAAATTCAAGATTTTAAACACTTAAACAGTGAATACTAAAAATCTAGGAAAAAATTCAAATCTTTTTCCCACATAGCCTAGAAGGCAGCTTGAGGATATTGATTTAAAAATTCTTCAAACAGAGAAGTCAAGCTTTTCACCTGAGTAACTTTAGATCCCAATGAATCACTGGGGAGATAGCTCAGTGGCATAAGCGCCTGCCTTGCAAGTACAAAGTCCTGAGTTCTATCCCCAGCACCAAAAAAGAAACAAACTGCCCCTAACCCCAATGAATCTAATTCATCTGCTATATTTTGTGTTTATTGTAATCCTTAACAATGGGCAAGCACAAAAGTGATAAAAGACTTCCTCTGTAAATTCCTGAACACTACAAATGGTTAAAGATTACCTGCATCTCTTACAAACAAAGCTGGGCTGGGCTTGTACAAACATGGAATAAAGGGCCTTGGCCTTAGAGAATACCCAGTAGGTCTGAGTCCTGGAGGGGTAAATGACTTGTGGGGGGACTGCCAGCCTATAAGCATAGTCATCAAAATCTGTATTTTTCTTGACTGCCAAGTTTAAATTTCTTTCCACTGCAGCTTTCTGGGGGCAGAGTCTAGTGGTTCTCTGTGACTGACTTATGCAGGGTGTGTGTGAGGTGTCAGTCTTGGCTGGCTAGAGTGGAGACCATGTGGAAGGAGAGAAGGAAGAGGCATCGCTTGCAGTGTGCTAGGAGAACCAGTTTGCAGTATTAACCATCGGAGAGCATTCTTGGTAATCACCTTAGGAAAGAGTACCCTGACAAGGGGCAGCAATTCGAGGACCAAGCAAGGGAGACAAAATTACTTTTGTCCTGGGATCAAGCCAACCTTGGAAACAACGGTGTTTTGACGTCTAATGTTTTTACTTACTCAGTGCCCTTGTGTTATCAGGTAGCATTCTTCTAAAAGAGGCTCACCCATGTCACTGTGTCCTGGGTTGCTCACTTCTCCTCTGAAGTGAGATTTAGGTTCTTCTTGTCTCAAGCAAAGACTTGAACAACAAGAGCAAAACACAGGGGCCAAGTTTATCAGAGAAAGTCAGTGTGAAGAGTGAGGGAGACATGGGCTCTGCAGAGCAGGCTTGGGCTAAGTAAAAGGAAAAAGCGACACAAAAAAATATGCTGGAGAAAGGAGGGCTGGCTACTGTCGGGAAGGTCAGGATAGCCAGCTCCTCCTGGTGCCTGTGTCTTTATATGTTCCAAATCTCAAGGAGATGCAGGAAAATGTCTACATATGGGTCCTGAGAGGCAGTGCTGGGATCCCACGCCTTGGGCTGATGTAAGGCCTAGGCCATCCTTTTGCAAGCTTGCTAGAGTTCTGCATGCAGGGCTTTAGGAACTGTTGTGTGTGTGTTTTCTGAGATCCTGTCATTAAAAGGTCATGCCCACTTCCTCAGCCAGCTTTGCCACACCCTCTAGCCCTTTGTCACTTTTAGCTAGACTGTACTGTACTTTTCCCCAACGTTGAAACAGACTGGAGGTGGCCCAGCAGGGTGGCACATGCCTGTCATCCAAGCACTTGGGGAAGCTGAAACAGGAGGATCACCATGAATTTGAGACCTAATAAATTCAAGGCCAGAACTGTCTTTAAAAAAAACCAGAACAAAACCCATAGGTCATCTTTCCAAATGCCACTGAGTTCATGAAATAATTTCTGAAAACTGATTAGACTGCTCCAAAGTTGGATTAGGGGCTTTGAAGATAGGCAGCTTCTCTCATGAAGTATTAGAGGTTCAAGTTGTTCACGTATAAAAGCCCTCCATTGAATTTCATGGCTTGTTAAGATGTGAACTAGGGGACTGGGTCTGGCTGGCCCTCTTGGCATCACTTGCCCTTCTCTGGTCCTCCAGTGTCCCACCTGCAAACTGAGAGGCACAGCATACGGCTGTGGTTTTTCTAACTGTGACCATAGCTTACAGGCACTTAGAGAAGCTTTAAAAACAAAACAAACATCACGTCCAGAATCCAGGTCAGAAGTGGAGCCTGGATAAGTTGCCAGGCAGGTGAGAAGCTCTGAGTTCTGTTTTCTGGGACCTGCTGTCCTGAGCATGTTCAGTGTGAGGGTGGCAGAGGATAAACTCGAGGCCATGGCAGTGAGAACATTCTGGCTTTGTCATAAGTAAGCTGGCCGACA